AGTAACTTGTGCATTGTTTTACTTACTTGTTTTTGACATATCCGACCGAACTACAAACTTTCCAGTGATGTCTGTGAGAAAGGTATATTCACTTGTCAGGCTTGCGCATCTGCGCCGCCACGCTCTCAATCCACTCAGCGTGCTTTGTTTATCAGCTCGCGCACATCAGCTATACAGGCGTTAATACTGAATGTTTAACATTATATTCATTGCATACATATACTTCGTAGTAGACATCCTTATCTCCATTCTGCTGTCTGTTGTTCTGTTGTCCATGTTTCTTTGTTTGAATATGGCGCTTATCACATGCTGTGTGGTATTGGCGTTTGGTATCGGGGCATTTTAACGAGTACGAGTACAGGAGACCAGTATCGGGCCCGATACCGATACCAGTATCGGTATCGGTGCATCCCTAGTTTGCTCTTTTCCCAGTTGACCCGAAGACCCAGACGGGCAAAGTGTCTGAGCACCAGATCCCTGTGCTCGCACAACTGTACTCGAGAGTGAGCTAGAATCAGCCAGTCATCGAGGTAGTTGAGGATATGGACACCTTGCTCCCGGAAAGGAGCCAGAGCTCCCTCCGCGATCTTCATAAAGACGCGGGGAGACAGGGCCAACCCAAATGGGAGAACTTTGTACTGATATGCCTGCCCCTCAAAAGCAAACCGAAGAAACGGTCTGTGTCGAGGAAGAATGGAGACATGAAAGTAGGCGTCCTTCAGGTCGATCGCTGCAAACCAATCCATGGGACGAATACATTTGAAAATGCGTTTGGGCGTTAACATCTTGAACGGAAGTCTGTGAAGAGCTCGGTTCAAGGCATGCAAGTCTAGGATTGGCCATAACCCACCTGTTTACTTGGGTACTATGAAGTAGGGGCTGTAGAAGCCGGACTTAATGTCGGCTGGAGGGACCGGCTCTATCGCACCCTTTGCCAGCAGGGTCACGACCTCCGTGCGCATGATAGGAGCATCCTTGCCCACCATCATAGCGCGAATACCCCGAAACCGTGGGGGCCAGTGGCGGAACAAAAAGAGAACGAAAACAAAGGATTCTCCCCCGGCCCTCCTCCGGGGGAAGGAGTGGTCCTGCTACCATCTCCTGAAGAGCTGACTTCCCCATCTCCGGGTCGACCGCCTCAGGAACGCCGCTTGGCCGGACGCTTGGCAGGTTTAGAGGCAGAGACGGGCTGCGCCACCCTTCTGCGGCTATCTCCTCGCTGCGGCCGGGGTGGAGGCTGCTGCTGTGGCTGAGCGGGAGTGGAGGAGACCGCAGGGGGGCGCCCTCGGCGACGAGCAGGCTGCGGTGGCTGAGCCGGCGGCAGTATGGAGTCAGCAGCAGGCCGCCAGGGCAGAATATGTTTTATGGCCTCAGACTGCTTCTGGGCGGCAGAGAATTGCTGGGTAAAACTCTCAACCGCGTCGCCGAAGAGGCCAGCCTGGGAGACCGAGGAGTTGAGGAGCTGAGTCCGATCAGACTCCCTCATGTCTGCCAGGTTCAGCCATAGGTGGCGCTCCTGGACCACCAAAGTGGACATCACCTGACCCAAGGAGTGCGCAGTGACCTTTGTCTCCCGGAGGGCGAGGTCGGTAGCAGTGCGCGCCTTCTGCAAGACTTCGGGGTCAGCACTGCCCTCGTGCAGCTCTTTGAGCACCTTGGCCTGGTAGACCTGGAGGGTGGCCATGGCGTGCAGGGCAGATGCAGCCTTCCCCCGCTGCTCTGTAAGCCTTGGCCACAAGCGTGGATGAGAACGTACAGGCTTTGGGCGGGAGCTTGTGACCACCACGCCAGGTGGAGGTGCTCCTAGGACACAATTGCATCACAACTGAGCACTCCACTGGGGGTATCCCCGCATACCCTTTGGTCGCCCCGCCATCGAGGGCAGTGAAGGCGGAGGTAGCACCAGAACGGTTTCGGGCAGTTAAAGGTGCCTTCCACGAACTGGTAACTTCCTGATGCACCTCCGGGAAGAAAGAAACCGGAGGGGGGCGCTGGCCATCAGCACGTGCAGCCCCCAGAAACCAATCGTCCAGCCTCGAGCGTTCGGGACAGGGTGGAGGATTCCACTCGAGCCCGATGCTCTCAGCTGCCCGGGAAAGCATGCCCGTCAGCTCGGGATCAGACTCAGGCAACGCTGGCCTCCCAGAGGGAGGCAATGCAGCCGAATCCTCATCTCCCGGAGGATTCGGCTGGACTCAAGCCCGCCTTGTGATGCGGCAATCGACATTTGGTCATCTTCCTGAGCCCAGAATGAGATGCTGGGATCCTGTTGAGAGGGCCCAGCAAGCTCAACCGGAGGCTCCACAGGCTGCAGTGTTTGTGAGGGGGGTGCGGCCCGAGGAGGCTGTCTCGTCGGGGAAGCCCACACTGTAATCCTCAGATCACTCTGGCCACCAGCCAAAGTAGCCCTCTTATGGGAAGAGGAACTAGACTGGGGTGTGGCAGAGGGGACTCTATACCGTTTAAGGTAATCGAGTCTCGATCTTAACGCAGCATAGTCATGTCCCCACAATGAGAACATGAACCATCCACGAA